TTTATTTAAATATATAAAGTTTGGTGAAAATGAGAGTACGTGAAAACTTAGGAGAAATAGGAGTTTGAGGGAAAGAGAAAACCCTAGCTAGAAGAGGAACTCCATTGTCAAGTTTCAACCTTTGATGCAACATAGAGGTAAGGGGATTATTCAACTTTGGGTGTATTTAGCATGAAGGATAGAGAGAGATCCTTACCCTCTTTCTTGTTTTTATTTTTCTTCATCCATTGATGCGGTTCTAGACCTTGAGAAAGTTATGCAAACCTCTATAAATCATTGTGTTAGGATAAAAAAATTGTACAGTTTCTTTAGCCTTCATTTTGCATGATTCCTTTGTAATTCTTCTCCCATATTTTGGAGTATATTTGCATGATCTTTAGGATGTGTACTTTCTGTCTTGTTTAGATCCTCACCTCACCTGAGTCATATCACCTTTGTATATTAAGTATTGATGTTATCTTTACACCTTAAGCCTTTAGTGCTAGTGAATTTGTTGATTACTTTTGACATGGTTTTTAATACCTTAGGGTAGAGCCATTTATGCACGACCTTAGGGGAACATCAGAGTTTTGTGTGTGACACATTCGTGATACTTAATTGATAACTTGAAGTGTGCATTATAGGCTTAGGTTTTGTTTGATCATTTCTTGCTTATTAGGTGATACACCTAGGTGTTTGGTAGGCTTGTAAGCCATCTTATTTGGTTGTTGATATTCTTGTTCTCACCTTTGTATGCTCCTTTAGGTTCACTTGGTTTACTTTTGAATCAAGGTAGACATTAAGATTTTAATCCATGCATGTTAACATTAGGTATCTTTCCTTTTTGTTAATCCTAACTATATGACCACCATTGTATCATGACATTAGAAATAGAATTTTCCTTAGATTTTTCATTCTCCTTTTGCATTCTTAAAACTAAAACTTTTTCTTAATCAAATAAAGGAGAAGTACTTAGATACCCCAACCTTATCAGGGACCATCTAACATATTCTTCCAACAAAAACATCTAACATTACTTAAACTATTTCATAACCAAAGGAAAAGTATTCAGATCCCCCACCTTCTGAGGGACCACCTGATGTACTCTCCTAACAAAAGATTCAACAAATGCAAACCTTTTTGTCTTCGGACTTTTTCTTTTAAACCTTTTCAAAAAGGAGAAGTACTTAGATACCCCTACCTTCTGATGGACCATCCAATGTGTTATCCATAAAACACAAAACAAACAAAAACTTTTGAGTCGAACTACGACGCTCTGATTCCTCAAAAAGGATATGTAGACATTAAGTTGCAGAACCTAAACGAGCACAACTATTTAAAACCTTTGTTTTCCCTGTATAATTTTCTCATGCATTTCCCTTGTAAGCTTTAGTATAATTTAGATAGACACGTCCTTTGATTAGAACAACAAGAGTGGATCCCGTGGAGTACCACGGACGTGAGGGGTGCTAATACATTTTTCTTGCGTAATTGACTCCCGTGTCCTTTCTCTTGGTCGCAATACTATATTTTCTCTCAAGTTTACTCTACATTTTTCTTTCCATTATGTGGGATAAATAACATTTGATGGAGACTTCAATGTTTATTTTCTTAGTTGTCTCACTGAGAAAAATCATTGTTGACATGAAAAAGAACTGGTGTAGCATTATCTTAAAGGATATGGATTGATGGTCGCAAACCACAAATTGACTTTGAATTAGCCATCAAAGATACAATAGAAAATAGTTATTGTTGCGAGATTAAAAAGATTCGAGAGAATCTAAAAAAACCGATTCTGAATACAACACCATCATCCTGAACTATAATAAAAGATGATGATTCAAATTAATAAGAGAGGTTAGCATTATGACATTTAAATTAGTAAGAGATTAAGGTGAAACTTTTAAAAGTGTATAATAAATCGGAACTGATTGTCATGCTTATATATAAAAGACCATTGTAATTGTCTATGTGTTGTTGGACGTGGATTACAAATGACAGTTGAATAATGAATTAATGAGTCAGAATAAAGGGAGAGGCTTATCCCTATATGGTGATGCTTATGCAAAGTTCATTTATACAACTATACAAAATAGTCTTTTTGGAGAAGATGGCCCGTGTAAATTAACTGGTCGTATAAGCTATGGCCAACTTAAACGCAAACACTATCAATTCATTTAAAAAATAAAATAATGAAACAAATCAAATAACAATATACAAATCAATTAGACTGTCGATTTGTGTGAGTATAGATAAAAAAAATCTTAAACTCTAGAACAATTGGAGCACTATTTTAAAATTGTTAGAAAATATGTTGAGAGTTGTATGAAGTAGTAGTAGTAATTGATATTAATGGAAGTCATAAGAAAATCATAATTTGTTGCCGTATAAGTACAAATAATAAATATAAGAGCAAAGTGGTCCCCACAGATAGAAACAAGTTAGCCTCGTGAGTTGGAGTTTGGCATGCCATGGAAAAGCCATGTCATTCACGAGACTCTTCTTTTCACAAATGATGAATGACTATAGAGTGGGACCCACCTCGAATGATGGCACAATACATACATGATGAACATGATCATAATGATGATGAGATTATTATTTTCAATTCCCAGCGCGTACATAGTTGTAGCGCGTGAAGCTTATGGAACACTCACACTAACTCACTCACTTTCATTATGATGATGTAGTCAATAGTCAAACTCATAAGCCAAAAAAGCACCTTTTCCTTCTCAAGAATCTCAACAGAATACTAATAGTCCTACTACTATTAATCATTATTACAATTATCTATGTTTTTTATTTTCACTTTTTCAAACATATTTTAGACATTTTTTTATATTTTATTTTATTGTTTATTGTTTTATAGTTATCATTATCATTTTAGTGATGTATTTTTTTTTTGTTGAAAAAATAGAGTAATTAATAAAAACCATAATATATAATAAAAAATAGACATAGTATTATTAAGAGAATGCTAATGAGTCAAAATATTGATTAAGAAATCAAAAGAAATTTTATATAAAAAATAATGTAATTAAGTTGATAAAAGTAACAACTTAATTATTAAAATACAACTTTTTGGTGAAATTTTGAAATATTTACTTTTAAAACAATTGTGGCAACTGGCAAATGCTTTATAATTATGAGTCTAACTTGTAAACACTCTAGACACTGTTTTAAAATTCTAAATAAAGTCTTTAAAAAATTAAATAAAATTTTCAATTGAACTTAAAATCATTTGAATAAGTCAATTCTTTAGCAATTGAGTTAACCCTGTCAATTTTCTAAATTTCAAGTGCGCACCAAAATACAAAAATTTATATATAAACATAATTGTTAAAAGTATTTTTAGAAATTTGTTAACATTTTAATTTGACATAATTCGTTCAAAATTATTTAACATTTTGACCATTTTATATATATTAAGTAACATACTTAATTTTGCATCAAAGCAATAAATTATGAGATAATTTATAAAAGGATTTTTTTATTAATAATGTTGGAAAAAGAGATTTAAAAACTTGGAAGAAAATAGAGTAATAGATAATACTTATACCATTTTAAAATAGATGTTGTTTAAAATTTTTGCATCCAAATTAAAAAATATATGATATTAAATTTTTATTAAATTAATATATAAAGTAATATACAAACTACTAAATAAAGTAATATACAGACTACTAAATAATTAAATGATATCATTGGAAAAAAAATTATATCAAAAAATGAAAATATCATTCAATTTAAAATGTTTACTTGTTAAAATGACCTTTATTTCAAAAGTATAATAGAAAAATGAATATTAATATTTTATTTAAAATTTGAAATTAATTTGAATCAAAATAGTATATACAACAATAATAAAAAGTATAAACAATGAATTATGAATGAAAAATGTTGATAAGTGTCTTTAGGACATTATATATATAAATTTGTGTTGGAAAATGCATTTATATATATATATATATATATATATATATATATATATATATATATATATATATATATATATATATATATATATATATATATATATATATATATATATATATATATATATATATATATATATATATATATATATATATATATATCATTTTTTAGCAACTGCATTTAGAACACATGTTATCTTTTCTACTTTCTATTTGTTGACTATTAAGTTTATTGAAATAAATAAATATGACTAGTCAATTCAAAAGTAGAATTTTTATATTCAAACACAATATTTTTCATATTTAGTTTCTATGTAGTTTTTTAATATGGAAAAACTAAGTTTATAAACCACCTTAACCTTTATTCACCAAAAACATATCAACTTTATTTTATAAACTTTATTTTTTATAACTCTTTGTTTTTAAGTGTTCATCTTTAAGTAATTGAAAATTTATTATTATTTATATATTAATTTCACAACTATGACTGAAACAAATGTGATGAGAGAAACATGGTCAAAAGTAGAGCACATAAAAATTATAGATAATTTTATTAAAAATAAAAAAATGAAAGAGTAATATTCTATAATATATTGTAATATTATAAATAAAATAGACATGAATAATAGAAAAATATATTAAAAGTTAATTGTAAAATTGACATTAGTGTATGAAAATTGTAAAGGATAGTTAAAAAGAAAGTAAAGTTGGAGTTTGAAGCATCGAAAATCGAAAACTTTGTTATAGGTAAAGTTGAAAAAGGGAAATATTATAATAATAATATTATGATTGTATCAATGAATATGAAATAGGTAGTCTGACACAAGTCATGATTAACTCTATTGCATGTTCTCTCTTTCATTACTGTTCTCCATAGTACTGTATCTATATCTATATATATACACTTTCATCTATCCTTCATTTCCTATACTGTTCTGCATAAAGCTACCTATTCCTCTCTGACCACACTGCCATCATACTTCATACTCCAACCAACCAACCCTGTCCTTCCATTCTTAACACCATTCTGTTTTCTTTTCTTTTTCATTAACCTCTCTTTCAAACCAAACAACTTCTCAGAAAAATATGGCTGACAAAGATGATGAGTTTTGTTTGGGTTTGAGCTTGAGTTTAGGCTGTGGAGATTACCAAAAGAAGAAAATCATAAACCAAACTCCTATCAATGTTATTCAGCTGCAAAAACCTCTTCCAAACCAAAGGGTTTCCTTCAATAACTTGTTCCTTTTTCATGGTATGTTTTCTTTTTCTTTTTCTTTTTTAATTCCATATTTTGGCCTTTTTTTATTTATTTATTTATTAGGGTAAATACTAAAACCCTAATGAAGAACACAATTCATTTTTATTTTTTTTAAATATAATTTTGTAAGAAAAAAGTTTTTTTTTTTGTTGTTAAAATCATGGAAAGGAAGAACAGAACGCAAACCTTATTTTATTTTATGTTTTTTTTAGTCAAAACGGTTTTGAGTAAAAAAAACAGGCTTTATTGTCGTGATTAATTACACGTTTGCCACTAACAAACTCACGTGTGCATCACGTGTTACAGATCGCAGTTCCGAAACGAGGTCGTTTCTCCGCGGATTCGACGGGAACTCGCTCCGAGCGTCTGCGGCGGCGGTGTTTGAGGATGAGAACGGAGTTTCGTCGCCGAATAGCACTGTGTCGAGTGTAAGTGGAAAACGGAGTGAAAGAGAAGGGAATGGAGATGAAAATGATGCTGTTGAGAGGGCTTCGTGTTCTCGCGGTGGAAGCGAGGATGATGACGGTGGAGGATGCGGCGGCGATGGTGAGTCTTCGAGGAAGAAGCTGAGATTGTCGAAGGAACAGTCGTTGTTGCTGGAAGAAACTTTCAAAGAGCACAATACGCTGAATCCGGTGAGTTTGTTGTAGTGGCATTTCTGTAATTCAATTTCAATCAAAGGGTTTTGTTGTAATTTGGTTATCATCATTAGTGGCATATCTGTAATTCAGTTATAGGTTAAGGTTGTATTTGGTAGTGCAAATTTAGGTATTTTGACTTTTTCTTTTTTGTTTTTATTATTATATTTAGGTTATTTTGAGGTTGTTTTTTTCATTATTATTACTAATTTTTTAATTTTATCAGAAACAAAAGCAAGCATTGGCGAAACAGTTGAATCTGAAGCCCAGACAAGTGGAGGTGTGGTTTCAAAACCGAAGAGCAAGGTGAAGTTTCTCTTTGTTCTCCTTCTACTTAGGGGTATCACTGTCATTTAACATATCAATTTTAGAATTTAGAATAATTATAAATACACATTATTGTTGTGATGGTGTGTCATTGTTGTGTACAAGGTTTTAAAATTTGGTTGCGGTCGTGTTACGGTCAAGTAAAGACATTCGCGATTTTTGTTGGTTTAGATGCCGCGACACTGATTGTGATTGTCAAAGTGTAAATTAACTACAATTTATTTTTTAATATAGAAACGCTGAATAATGGTATCAGTATCAGCATTTGCCGCGGTCGTGTTAAAACCTTTGTGTATTTCATGTCTGTTTTGTGGTACATTTTTCTATTAGAGAAAAAAAGTGAAGTGAGTTGTTTTGGTTCAATGAATGCAGGACCAAGTTGAAGCAAACTGAAGTGGATTGTGAATATTTGAAGAGATGCTGTGAGACTCTAACTGAAGAGAATAGAAGGTTGCAAAAGGAAGTGCAAGAGCTTAGGGCATTGAAGTTATCTCCACAACTTTACATGCAAATGAACCCTCCCACCACTCTTACAATGTGCCCTTCGTGCGAGCGTGTCGCCGTGTCATCCGCATCCTCTTCATCAGCAGCCGCACCCTCTGCTTCAACTCCAGCTAACCGCAATTCGTTGGTCCCGAGTGTTCAACGACCAGTGCCTGTCAACCCTTGGGCGGCCATGTCTCTCCAAAATCGTTCCCGGTCATGAGTCTTTCGCCCATGATATTAGCAGTAGGTTAAAGTAGGCCATGACAATGACATTTAGTGTATGTTTGGAAACACATTGAGTTTGATTGAATCACGATGGCTCAACGAGATTGAATCAAGACGGCACAACGCGATTCTACCAAACTCAGTGCAAAAACTTTGCAGTTTAGAAATGAATCAATGCTGTGGTATGCTTTACTTTTTAGTGTTGGCTCATTAGGACTTAAGGTTATGACTTTAGTTAACTTTTGAGTCTGGCTTATTTTACTTTAGGCCTAGTGATAACATGTTTTACTCAACTTTAGGATGTGTAAAGTTTAAACATGTTAAAGTAGGTTGTGTTTTTCATCCTATGCTGAATAGTTTTTAATTTTTATCAATCTTGAAAGGGTGAAAAGGAGAATCCGAATCTATTTTATCTAATTTTTTCATGTGATTTATCATACAAGTTGGTGAGGAAAAGTAGGATTTTGTGCAAGATTGGAAAGGGGACAAACTAAGGAGATTCCCATGAGATGAAAGATGTGGTCTCAACTAGAAATGATTTTGTCTATCTTTTGTTCTTATTCTTTTTTCCTTTGTTTTTATACTTAAACATGGGGTTGAGTGATGACTCACATTGTGTGGGGGCTCTAATTCATACTTCCTTGAAATATGGATTTTTCCATTACCATTTTAGTTAACAAAGGTTAATGTGATAGCACACTAGTGAGAATGGTTGCATCAAAATCAATATTCAATGAGTTTTTGAAGGTTTGGAACTATAAAAAGACAAGTAACATACACAAAAATAGGTACTACTCTTGTTAGAATGGTCCATGTTCATGACTTTATATTGCATATGGGGGAACATAGGCCAACTTTGTCTTTTGAATGTTTCATTTGTCTGAAAAACTATTTTAATGTATTTAGGGACTACATTAATGTATTTTGATATTTTAGAGATTAATAATCATAATAGGGAGGTTGTGGCAGTGGGATAATTGTAAACATGAGTTGAACTCAAAGCCACACTTTGTAGCTTTTTGTTTTTACTCGAAGCCACACTGTGTACTTTGTAGCTTCTTGTTTTCACGGTAGAGAGATTGTGGATGCGCGGTGCAAAACTGTGAAATAATTGTATATGTGAGTTTAACTCGAAGTCATACTTTTGTCTTTATTGTGTATCATCATTGTTGAATACGTATTTCGGTTGATGGAATTTGTTTGAAGTCTTATATTGTTTAGGTTTTGGATTATTGAATGTATAAATATGTGAGAGCAATCTCGTCCAATGAATTAGCTTTTAGGATGAGATTCAAACATATTAATTTGACCAGGCTCACACTAGGCGTGAGGGTGAATGTTGAATATATAGTTGTGTTGTGATCAAAGACTTCTTGGTTGGCTGATGAACTCAATGATTACAACTAACAACACAATTATTACACTATGAAACTTTCAAGATTGACTAAGGGCAACAAATTCAACTCAAGTAGCAATTAGAGAGGCTCTATCTTCAGAGGTTGGAAAGGAAGAAGATGAAGAGGAAGAAACTCTAAAACCACTATTCCAAAGTTTTCAACAAGATTGGACACACAACAATGCATTGCTACTACAAGTTTGACAAAACCTACTCTATCTCAGCCCATAGTGATAAGAAAGGAATTCACAGTGCTTTCCTAACTTCTCGCGACTCGTGTCACAACAACCTGATAAATTTCAAGAACTGAATGAACAACAAAAACAACAACTAAATCTTATCACATTAAGTAGGGTCGACTACATGAATTTATTTTTATTGAAATAGTTAATCTCAAGTTTTTTTTTTAATAATTTCTTTTATAATTTTTTTAGTTCTTCCTCTATCTTTGGTTGTTTGCCTTTTTTTCGTCTGATCTATTTTCCTTACCACATAATCTTCATGTGTTTTCTGTACATGTCCAAATCACCTAAATTTATTTTTCACCATCTTTTCTAATATAGGTATTATCCCAACACACTCTCACTAATATTGTAATTTCTATTATATTAAATGTATAATAATGCTTTGCAATCTATCTTCCTAGATTTCTTGAAGATGACTTTTTGTATCTCAATAGGTTTCTTTGTCTCTTTATTAGTGTCCATGAAATTATTCCAATAATAAATTGAAGTGTTTGGTAGTCCATCTATAGATTAAATGAACATATGGCAATAAACATCAATATCACTCTATAACTTTTAACTTTACAATAGATTAGTCCAAATAATCAAGAATTATAGTGCTTTCTATTCCATATAAAACGATCATATACGCAAGAGCTTACATCACTTTTCACAAAACCTTCAAAATAATAGTAAATTATAGAACAACAACAGCTCAATTCTATTTCCTATGCTTTCAAACATTCTTGTATAAAAACCTCATAGTAACTGTCAATCTAACAAAATATATCTTATTTTCATCATCTATCTCAAATTCAATCAAACATCATGCAGAAAAAGACATGCATTGCTATGGTTCCTTCACCAGGACTAAGCCATTTGATTCCACTTGTTGAGTTTGCTAAACTATTACTCCAACAACACAATGAGTTCACTGTCACATTCCTCATTCCATCTCTTGGTCCTCTCACTCCTTCCATGGAATCCATCTTGAACACTCTTCCACCAAACATGAACTTCACTGTTCTTCCACAAGTCAACATGGAAGACCTTCCACAGAATCATGAACCTGCAACACAAATGAAACTCATAGTGAAACACTCTATTCCATTTCTACAAGAAGCTGTGAAATCACTCATTTCAAAAACTAACCTTGTTGCTTTAGTCTTAAGCATGTTTTCAACAGATGCTCATGAAGTTGCCAAGCAATTCAACCTTTCTTCTTACCTTTTCTTTTCATCAGGAGCTGTTTTATTCTCTTTCTTGCTCACCCTTCCGAAACTCGATGAATCTGCTTCATCTCAGTTCTTAGAGTCTAGTTATGAAACAGTCAATGTTTCTGGTGTTCCATTTCCTTTCCATGTCAAAGATCTTCCTGACCCGGTTCTCTGCGAAAGATCGAGTGATACATACACATCATTTCTCGATGTGTGTCGAAAACTCTCATTGTTTGATGGTGTTATAATGAATACTTTCACAGATTTGGAACCAGAAATTATAAAGGCTCTTCAAGAGAGTGAGAATAAGAAAGTTTTTGTTTATCCTGTTGGACCTATTATTAGAAATGAGTCAAACAGTGAAGCAAACATGTCAGTATGTTTGAGGTGGTTGGAGAATCAACCACCAAGTTCTGTTGTTTTTGTCTCTTTTGGAAGTGGTGGAACACTTTCTCATGAACAACTCAATGAGTTAGCTTTTGGTTTAGAATTGAGTGGACACAAATTCTTGTGGGTTGCGAGAGCTCCAAGTAAACATTCTAGTTCTGCTTATTTTAGTGGACAAAAGGACGATCCATTAGAGTATTTACCAAATGGTTTTTTGGAAAGAACAAAAGAGAATGGACTAGTGGTTTCATCATGGGCACCACAAGTTGAGATTCTTGGTCATGGCTCAGTTGGTGGTTTTTTGAGTCATTGTGGTTGGAGTTCAAGTTTGGAGAGTGTGGTTAATGGTGTCCCTATGATTGCTTGGCCATTGTTTGCGGAACAGAAGATGAATGCTAAATTGCTGAGTGATGTGCTTAAAGTTGCCGTGAGGCCAAAGGTTGATGAAGAAAGTGGGATAGTGAAAAGAGAGGAAGTTGGTAAAAGTGTAAGGAGAATCATGGAAGGAGGTGAGAGTTTGGAGATTAACAAGAGAATGAAAGAATTGAGTGATGCTGCTGCTAGTGTGCTAGGTGAGCATGGTTCTTCTAGGAAAGCACTTTCTACTCTAGCATTGAAATGGCATTGATATACATGTTTGATGGCCTGGAGAAGTTATTATTATTAATGCTATCATTTTTAGGTGTCCAACAAATGTAATAATTTCTTGCTTATAAATGGATTCGATGTCAAACATTTTCAGTGTTATTTGACAGTTTTCTATTTTTCTTTTGCATGGAATTAAATGCTAAGAAAATAAGAGACTCATTGTCTCATCATAGTTATCGAAGAGTAATTTAGTATTTTTAGTATGTTGCTTATGTGATTCTAATTTGTGCGTATAAATAGATTAGTAGTAAGTGTCTTTTAATAATCATAATTTGTCTTATATCTTTGTAGCCGTCATTGCAAAGCAATACATATATTCTCTCATTCTTTTTCTTCTTCATCACCTTGTGCACTAATAATTGGTATCTAGAGCTCAGGTTCAGATTCACAGTGAAACACGGGAAACACGAGTGAAACGGTGAGGCGTTGTGTGATCGATTTCGTGAACGGAATTGTAACAGAATCACATTTTCTGATTCTGCAGGATTGTGAAACACTTTGTTTTGTGAGATCTGAGTGACTTACACAAGGTTGAAGATGAATGGAAATGGTAGTCTGAGCACCAAACTTCCAGTATTCGATGGTAAGAACTAGAATCGCTGGATGATTCAGATGCGTGTGTTGTTCGGTGCCTAATGTTCTTGAGTTTATTACCGAAGGTTACGTTCCGGTTGCAATAGATGCGACGGAGGAACAGAAAAATTCTCCGATATAAAAGGAAGAAGATCAGAAGGCATTGTTCTACATCCATCAGTGTGTAGATGTGAATGTGTTTGAGAAAATTGTTGATTCGACGATGGCGAAGGCTGCGTAGGACACACTGGTTAGGTGTTACGGTGGTGACGTACCAGTGAAGAAGGTGAAGCTTCAGTCTCTACGAAAACAGTAGGAGAATCTCAACATGAAGGACAACAAGAAGGCATCTGAGTACATCTCTAGACTGATTTTGATCACTAATGAGATGAAAGCTTGTGGAGAGACCCTTTCTGAACAAGTAATTATTGAGAAGATATTGAGGTCTCTTACCCCTCAATTTAATTATATTGTTGTAGAAATTTAATATTTTAAAGATTTGCACACCATGAGAATAGAAGAGCTGCAAAGCAGTCTAGAGGCACAAGAG